GACACCACCGCTAGTCACCTCTCTCCAGTGTCGGCTGGTTGCTTACACGCAATTTCAGTTATTTCAGATTCTGGAACTATCATTGGCAGACACAGACGTAGGAAATATTTGACTGACCGTCCAATGAAAACACGGATAATTTTGCAACGCTTCCTGTTCCACATAAAAGCGGTTTCGGTAAAAAGTCATGCAATGAATTATTAAGAGGAATGCACAGGATCTTTCGGCAGAGGATGCACATCGAAAATTTGATTGCGCAATGAATGTGATTGGTCGAGACTTGCAAATTGAAATTGGTGCGTTTGGTATGTGGACTGAATTCAATGTTTACGAACTAGTCGTTTAAGTATTTACAAAATACAGAATTTTCATCCTTCAGACCAACACACGTGGTCAGATAGGACCTCTCGTTTACTTTCACACCTCTAAATCCGCCTATTATCTCGTTTCTGCGACTGTTTGCACACAGCACAAAATATATCATATTCTGATTGGTCACTGAAGCTGTTGCATAAAATCCTTCTTAAGTTTCTGATTAATTGACAAGACTACCTCTATAAACAGATTCTTTAGGCCTGCCAAAATTTCTTCGTCTTGGTCACATCTCAAAACACCCTTAATTTCTTCGTTCAAAGATGACTTGGTAGTAGAATTAGGTAATTGTTGCGCGTCAACCGGAAACTAATATTTTCACACGGCACCAAATTTGTCCTACCTTTCACAGTATATGAAGGAGGGCTCGCGAGTTTGAATGTAAAGACCTTCGTTAACTCCCCAAAGTATGCACAATACACCTCACCACAATTCTCATACTTACTAAAGCGATTCCATATTTGTTTGTGTGTGATAATGCATAGAACGGATGATTCAGCTCTTGTGTGATTGGTTGATCATGAAATCTCTCGTCCAATCATCGATGACCATTCACAAAATCGCACTGTTAGTGTTTGTGAGTGAACATTTGAGTTTGATTAGTTGTGATTTAGTACGTTTTCTCTTGAGATTGCTTGCGGTTGTGCGAGTGATTTTTAAAACTAGACACTTTAAACTTTTCTGCCGTTTAATTTTTTTAAAACTCCAGAACAGACTCAGAGCTTTGCTGTTGTTTCATGAGAAATATTTTTCACAGTACACCAAAATTTGATCTCACTGATTTGTCGAGCTAGGCTTGGAAACCTGGATGCTAGGAAAGCGAGTTTGACGCCCCAAGAAATTCTAAGAAGACTTCAAAACATGTCTTCATTATGTCAACCAATCGCGTTGCTTGGGGAATTCGGATTGGCCCTGACATTTGACCAATGACTGCTGATGTTATCTCGACTGATTAAGATAACGTGTTTGATTTGGATAAATTTATGATTAAATTTCAAGCTGTTTTAGAATAACTTTTTAACGGATTCATTAAAGGGAGTCCACATATTTTTTCTTCTCAATAATGTGTCCAGTAACTCCATTGGTGCGTTAAGGCCACGCGACATTTTGAACAAATTGAATCACTCACACTCTCGCTTTCTTGTGATTGAAGAAAAATTCTGTTTTATTGAATTAGAGTGAAAAGGAAATGCCAACTCAGCGAGGTTGTTCAGAGCGAAAAGGCAGTTCTCCTGCTATGACAGGAAGGAATGCAAAATCTTTGCATTATTAAGTCAAGAGTTGAATTGCCGCGCAGCTGTGATTGGATGAACTGGATTTCCGCCACACCGTGAACGCCATCAAGGGTGCTATCCTGTGGTGTTGACAGAAAACTCTGCCTTGTCGAGTTAGGTGAAAAACGACTACCATAGAAACAAATTTGTCCAGGTTCCTAGTGGTCCAATTGCAGCTTCTGTGTTGTTTTAGTTGTCTGGCGGTTAATTTGAATCCCTCTAATCCAGTGAGCGGTGCTCCCACTAGCAATAGTCATCTCTTCAGCGATCGGGTGCCTAAATAAGCTACTAGGGAGTCGAGCATTGATTGGTCGTTGGCGGGCCACTTTCCATTGGTTGATTTCTCCGGGTAATTTTCTGGGCCATACAGCCCACACGAGGTTCACAGGCATTTACTTGCATGATTTACTTCACCCTAGGAAGCAGTTGTTTTTGTGTGTACATACAAAAGACGGGAGGCATCAGGAGTTGGCAGAAGAAGTGCGGAAGCATCAGACAGCGTCGGTGGAGGTGGCAGCTGGAAGACCCGTCTGGTGACTTCCAACTCGGAAGGAGAGACGGAAGCGAGATATCATGCGCATCGACGGCGCCTTGGGCGGTTCGGAGGTCTTGCGAGAGCCGAACAACAGCGAGGGCTTCCTGAAGAGTTGCGGGGTCACAGAGCCAAGACGCTGACGCCCCGTGCATCGATCGGACGTCTGGGGGGTACAGGTGGCGACGAGCAGGCCTGGAGGGGACTTGGAGGTTTCGATAAGCGTTGACTTGTCGACGATGGACCAGCGGAAGAGTCGGCGTCGAATACGGGTCGGGTTGTCGGTGGGGGAGACGTCGTGACTACCTGGTGCACCCCCTGTGTCTTCACTGGGGCTCTACAAGGCATTGAATTGATATTTGGGTGATTTTTCACCTCTCACGTGATCGCGGGCAGTTAACAGGCTTTGGGAATGATGGCGGTTGTGGGAGTTGCTGGCATCAAGCACTCCTGCTGAAGCAAGCAAAGAGATAAAATCGAGGCAATAAACACTGATTGTGGTTCCGTCGTAACCACAACCACTTATTGTCACAGTAGCAGCTTTACCCTATCTCATCCGGTAAAAATCGTGCGTTTTTGGGCATAAGGCAGATCGTGGCATCGATTTCCAATCAAAGGACTGTCTACACAACTCTACACCATCACTCATAGTCATTGATTGTGTAAAGTTGTGTCTAGTAACTCAAAATAAGCACAAACAGTTTAAATGTTACTGTGAATTTTAAGCCTGAGTTCAAGAATAGTAAAGAAGGTCAAGTTCATTCAAACGAATCAGGTCAGAAACCTGGAATCTGGAATCTTTATCAATTTTCAACAGAAAAAATAAACAAGCATAGAGACTTCTACAGCGAGCCTCTTTTCCGATTTGAATGAGTTCCGTTTCCATCCGCAACATTGGGGTTCACGGGTTTTTATCCACTGAAAGGTCTGACATAACTTAACTTCTGGAACCTACAAATCTGATTGGTTGAAATTGTGTGAATCTCCAGCATGTTCAGACAGCACCTCAAGTGGCAATAACCAATCACATCTCTCCAACGCATTTTCATTACAGTGGAGCCCTTGCGACCACTCGCATTTTGCAAGAACGAAATAGAAATTCAGTCGAAGCACGATGAACACCGCACAAAGGCAGGTCGTGACGAGATTTAATGGAGGCGATGACCTTGACACGTCCAATCAGAGTGTCAGATTTCCGGTAGCCGACCAATGGAACTGAGGCTCGAATTGAGGCACTTTATTAAATTACATCGTTATCTGGGGTTGCGAAATGCGACTACCTTCAAAAAAATTAATAATTCGGTGGTTTTGGAATCCTGCGCCATTTTTGATGAAATCGATAATCTATTTGCCCTCTGAACAAGTGGCCCAACGTCATGGGAATTGAGGATCTGTAGTATCCAAGTATTTGCCGAAACGCCAATGAAATTTGCATCCAACACAACACGCCCAAATTCACAAACGTTATTTGGCTGATGCGATAGCAGAGACGCCTCACTTCGATCATTTTTTGATCCCCAACGACTTAAAAGAAAACACCAGTGACCTTGAAACCTGACCTTAAACAGCCAATCTGATTCCCGCACTTTAAAATATGATTTGAGCAGCCATGAAAACCACCCCACCTTTGCAGGAAACAACACAAACATAGGCCGTTGGGAGATATAGGGGACGATGCGATGACCTTGGCTTGTCCAATCACTGCGCTGAAATCTAGATTTGAGACCAATAGAGCGGCAGTCTTCTAAAAGGCTTCATCGTTTTGGATTAAAAATTGCAAGTGCCCTCGATATTTTAATGAATTCTTGCCGCCTTCTCCACATAACTGGAATTCTTAAAAGATGGACAAATTCACAAAAAACAGCCTCATAATCGATCTAAATATCTCTATTTTATGTGTATAAATTTATCAACATATGGCTCTGGTACAAACTATACTGCTCCCTATGGCAATTCAGTAGTACGAACTACCTCCACATCTGCCCAGTAATTTTGGCTAATTGTTGAGAATTGGAACGATTTGTGCGAGCGTTTGTTTATTCTAATTCAGGAGGAATCCAGTCAAATGTCCCCTGTCTGGACAAGATTGATTAATGGTGTCTGTAGGTGATGGGGGGGGGTTGGTGTCTCCGAAATCCCTTGTTCAATCTTACATATTACAGCTTTTTCCCAATCGATTGCGTTCTGCGCTGTTAAAGCAATATCGATTATTTGCAGTGCAATTTTGGGTGTACGCATGCACAGCTGATCCAATATCGATCGCACATGTTCACAGCACGTGCGTTATCGATTGGGCGTGAACATAAGTCAGGTTGTATCGATTGCTCGTTGGTGTTGCTCACATTACGGTAATTTCGAATAAAATATAGTCAAATTACAAGCGACGGTCCATATTTTTAACTCGTATCGATCAGGTGTGTTCCAGTTCCGTAGATCCAGCAGTCAAGAGGCCTAATTTCGTTACTTGCCTGCCCACACAACACATCAAACCGCCTTCTTCGGCTAATGTCTTGGGCGTTAACAAGCATTCACGATTTACAACCCCTTTAACAGTGACGTTGCTTTAATCTGCAATTAGAAACTACGACTCACAACACAACCACTTTCTGCTAGCACCACAATTTCCTGCGGTGTGAAATAGTGCCAAAATTTCTAAGATCCATCCTCCCTGGAGTTGTGAAACACTGGAAGTGAAATATTATTTTAAATAAGAAGAATAATTTTGCTACAATAGAGGCCACTTATGACACATAGACAGACGCAATTATGCATAACCTTTCCAAGGTGCATGCCCTCCGAATTGCCATAAGTGTTTTCTAAACAAAAGCGATTTTTTTTCTCTGCGCAAAAGACCATCACCGTGGCGATGTGTTTACCAATCAGGGGACGATTTCGCATACAATGTGTTATTTTTTTCACAGGAATTGCCTGATCGTCCACTTCAGTTTTATAAGTGCCGAGTGAGCAGTTGGGTTTTTTATATCACGAGATTGTACTGGATCTCGACCTTCCGTGCTCTGATTGGCTACGGGGGTCACTGGTGATTGGTCGAAATTCTTGGATGGACAGCGGATTCGCAAGTAGTGTCCAGACTATTCGATCACTTTCTAATTAGGTCAAAGGTCAGCCATCTCAGCAAGGTGAATGTAATGGGGGAAAGCCATAAAATTGATTATTTGTTGGAATATCAAACATTCTCACCCACTAAGAGATGTTTGCTAATTGACATGGACCTACTTTTGCGTCACACGTGTCGACAGGCGCAGTCGAAGCCTCGCAAACTGAAGAAGGCCCGGACGACGAGCTGAGGGACGAGGTGCCAACTTGGATGGCGTGTTGCCTTGGCAACTGGGATCGCTCTGCTAGACGTTCTTCCGAAGTGTCTGCGTCGCCCTGTGAAAGACTTCGACGTCGAGTGTACGAACGGCGCGTCGTGTCTACCGGTAGTTTCAAATGGTTGTTGTCTTGGTTGCCCTCATCTGATTGGCTGGTTGGGGGAAAGGGGGCGAGGAACACATCGTCCGGTGTCTGCACAATGTCCGGAACCGAACTCTCATTGGAGATATTGGCCGAGAAGTGCAAGATTAGGCCCTTCTGGGAGGACGAATCACTTTCAGCCTGGTGTTTGTGCAATTGAGAAAAGAGGATTAGCCTTTTCAGACAATCAGTGACTTCTGACTGCACAAGCGGAAAATTTAAACTAATCTGAACTCTCAAGAGCAGCCCTGCCATTGTCCCAGCTAAAATTTTGCATTATGCATGGACATTAGCATCAATTCAGGTAAATCGATTTTATTTTACCCTCACCTCTATCCTCCATTTCTTTCGTTCAGCCATGCAGAAGCAATCACATCATAGATCCTACCGACCAATTGGATTTGGACATTTTTTGAATCACGCCACTTGTTGATTCATCGATTGGGGTGTTATCGATCGCTGCTATCACCTGAGATGTACTCAGACGACCTTTGATTTTTTCTTAGTGGCAATTAGTGAATTGATTTGAAATCCGATTGCCTGAATCAGCAGAATCCACGCAAATTCGGGAGACAAAATTAGTTGATATTTTTATGAAAACGTTGTGAAGGGGGATGGTTTATTGATATTGATCGATTGCAGTCAAAATCCTTGCAGAAAAATTGGTGAGGGCCAGTGTGCTGAGTTCCCTAGTTGGATCTATCTCGTGGGCTTTGTATTCAGCGTTTATTTAAATCCAACCATTAAACGTTTTCACATCAGACAAATTATGGTTAGCTATGCATTCAAAGAGGTCGACTATAACTGGTTTCGTAGTCATAGGAATATAATTTGCCTTTTACTTGAGACCGCAGATGTGTTTTGCCTTAAAGTCGTTTCCACAACACCTCTGAAATATTGGTGCGAGGGCCATTTTGTTGGTGATCACAGTTTCTATGGGGATCCACTTTGGTGAACCTCACATCCAGCGAAGCAGACTCGACCCAGTTTAAAATGTAATTTGATTTTTACTTGAGGCTGTGAAAAAGGTTTGATTGAAGGTCTGTTATATAACTTTGGTGAGAGGGCCACTGTGTAAGCGAGTTGGTGAAAGGGCCGCTTTGATATGCAATCGAGGTTACAATCGGAGACATTTCGGTCAATCCGCGTTCAGAGGGATCACCCAAGCCTGTGTTGATTTACACTCGTCATTTACTTGAGACAGAAGGTGTTTTGCCTAGAGATCAGTTCCACAACACTGCCGAAACATTGGTGCGAGGGCCACTTTGCTGGTGCGTACCATTCAAAATGCCCATTCAGAGGAACGGACATAGCTAGCACCGTCACCACGAAAACGTTTTTTTGACTTAGTTTATGCCAAATGGGTTGGATTTAAATAAAATTCCTACCTGCTATTTGTGGTGTCAGACACACTTTAATAAAATTTGTTGCCCTATGCTAATCGCACGCTGTTAAAACGTGCAACCCGGCCATTCTTCAGTGATTGGTTCAGCAGTCCACAAAACAAAATCAATTTGATTGGCTACTCCAACTAAAAAAAGGCATCTATTTTTGACCAGAAATGAAAGAAAAAAGCTTTCTGGCAGAACAAAAACGACAAGTTGAAGACATCGATGTCGGGGACATTGCGTTCAATCCTTTCGTTCTGTTTACATTGGCCCAAAAATTGTCATTTGTTAGTGGTCAAACACACTGTCCTGCCTGCCTGCACGTAATTCCACGAAATTTTGAGGGTCAAACGTGCCTTAAAATTTCGTGGAATTAACAGACAGTGAGTGGACGTGGTGCACCTGTCCACAATTTGGTTTCACGACCCATAAATTTTTCGCTTTCATCACATACTACTTACCCATCCTTCAAGCGACCGATTTTCAGAAGGAAGCTTGTTTTCATGGGTGTGGGGAGCGGATATGTTGCGAAAGTGAATCGGTCCGTCTTCACTGCCTACAAAAAATGCCATTTTGACGGTTTTTTGTTTAACCAATTGGATTTCAACAAATTTAAAAGGGCCATTTACCGATGGTTAGCTGAAATCCACATGCTAACTCCTTCAGTAACTACGAAAAATTAGCACATTTATAAAATTTAATTTTCAAATTTAGCGAGAATCTTGATTTTACCACAGGAAATAATTTTTAAATTTCACATTGTCAGAACAAAATTAAGTTTAAAATATTTTGAATTGGTGTGTTTATCAGGGTCGTGATTTTGAGCGTAAAAAGTTGCACTGGGGGCAAAGGAGATCGTTTCCGGTTTCAAACTCGCGCGGTACCAAAACAGCCTGCTTAAGCACACGGCTATAATCTGCCCGATCCAATGATTGGTTAATCAGCCAATTAGAAGCCCAGAAGGTTCCAAAAAGATTTCCACCAATAGTTGCCAAAACGTCAAACGTGGCGAATTTCGGACAGGTGATTGGTGGATTCGAATTGTTCGCATAAATAAACACAATACGCCGAGTCCAAAAAACCCGCTTCTGGCGATGTGGTATGTGGCCTTTAACAAGGCCCACTCTACCAAGACTATCTGAAATTTTTCCACAACACCAGGCATTTCTAATGCCTAAAATTGGTTATTTAACATGAGCGTATATTGACCAGAAAGAAACAAATAAAACAGGATTGAATTTAATCTAATTGGCAGATTACAAATCGATGGACAAACGAATGAAGCCGACGTTTTTGTTTGAATGCGCCGTCGTTGTTTATCTGCCCAATTTTAAAAAAAGCGCTGGTGTGTTGTTTGTTTAAATCCACCTTTAAGCATTGTCGCATAATTTAAAACGCGCGCCTTCAAGGTGTCGCACAAAGTAGGCTGAAATTGTGTATAAAGGAACAATTCAAAATTTAAATTCGAAATCGGCAAATTTGATAATTATTCATTCGCACCTTCATAATTCTTAAGTCGTTAATGGGATCCTATTTTACCAAACCGCTTGCATTTTCCGACGTCGATGCAGATGAGGTCAAATTTTCACGAGTTCAATGTAAGGTTAGAAAAACTGCCTAGATAGTAGCTACCAGTCAAAAGTTCATTCATTCAAGGTCGTGTCGTTGATTAAAAGGTCACCAGGGGTCATGATTATTAATGGCCTGTATTAGTACAAGGTCAAGAAATTGGTGTATGTCAGGAGTCAGCAGTTCCCAATAAAAACGAGTGCAATTATTGGTGTATAACATCAAGAAAAAACGGAAAATTTTTTTGCAAAAGTTGCCAACACTAGACAGGCGGCGTGTTTACCCGAATTCGACAAGAAAATGCAGATAAAATCGCTGTTTTGCTCAGCATCGGCCGTCGTTTGGGCGTTATTTGCAGCCGGTTAGAAGCTGAACACTCACGCTAGGACACCGATTTGAGAAATGTCGTGATTTTACCTGTCGAGGACGCGTCAACTGGAAGTCGCGTGGACGAGGAATGCGCGGAGAGGAAGCAGTTGCGACATCCACGGTCACCAGCGAAGAGGAAGGTCACGTCGCTGGAGGAGTGCGTCTTTGCCTGTCTGCCGACTCGTGAGACGTAGTGGAACCGACGTGGGTTCTGCAGGGCCAGTTGAATCTCCGCCTGCATCTGCTGAATGTCCGTCAGCTCGCGCAGCCACGAGGTGCGCGCGGACTCGCTGCCAGGGTCAAAGACGTAGACGTCGGAACTGCCAGGCGACTCGTCTACCACGGCAAACCATAGCCAATCGGGTGAGCGGCATCCAGCTCTCGTCAGTACCGACAGCGACTCGCCTTGCGAGCGTGCACGTGTCGATGGAGGCGTGTAGATGGTGACTTCGGGATTCGACAGAGATTCAGTGTCGGCAGACGGTTCTGGACTAGCCATCTTGACGCTCTGACGCATTCCTGGCTCGTCGATTAACTTTGGGCGAGACGTCACTTCTGGGAACAGCCAGTGAGACTAAAATCACAACAACAGCAGCTATCTGGTCATCAGTTTGGACTTGCTCCCATGACGGTTGATGATTGGTCCGTTTTGAAGCATTCTCGATCGATAAATATTGAAAACTAAGGAGTTAGATGCTGCGATATGACACTTGTTTTGAAAAAAATCTTAGGCTGTAAGCAAAATTTATTGTTTCTACTCTAGCATAATCAACCCCCCTTGCATTCCTCTTAATAATTCATTTTATCACTTTTTCCCAAAAACCGCTTTTATGTGGAACAGGAAGCGTTGTAAAATTGTCTGCGTTTTGATTGGACGATTAGTCAAATATTTCCACCGTCGGTTTCTGCCAATAATAGTTCCAGAATCTGAAATAACTGAAATTGCGTGTAAGCAACCAGCCGACACTGGAGAGAGGTGACTAGCGGTGGTGTCGTGGAGATGTCTGGAAATATGAGTAGTACTGTCAGTAGTAGTATTTGTGACGAGACTAGGGTGATTTTGCGTGTCGAGGGTGTGGACCAATGAAAATGCGCGGAAGACCAACTTGACTGCCTCTTACACCAAGCAGATGGTTACATCGTTTTCTCTGGCCTCACTTGTCCCTCTGTCGGAGAGTGTCGATGGATATTCGCAGTCTGAGACATGCGACTTGTAAAATTCCACCATCAGCCAATGAACACTCACGCGATGGCATCGTGCGTGCGTGTGTCTGGCGTCGAATGGCTAAATTTAGAGTTCCGCATGGCGAGTGTGTGTGTGTGTGTCGTGGCAGGTGGCGTTGGCTTCACGATTGCGTCGCGGTGGCTGCTTTTATGTCTTACCACACACATTCCACTCTGCCGTCACATCACAAGGCCCCAACCACTCCTACTGAACTCTGTTTACTAGTAGTATTTCGGGTTTAGATGCAGCGTAGAATTGTCTCGACTTCTCGCCCATAAGACCTTTGAAAAGGAAATGAGTGAATTTTGTTAGTGTTGCTTGCAGTTGTGTCTCGATGTCATCATCACTCTGGTTGGCTGAACGCAAAGACTACAATAAACCGTCGTCTGGTGCATTGAAAACGTGGGGTTTTCTCAGAAGCAAATTGTCGTTGTTGAGCAGCTAGTTGCGTGATGTCCCGATCGACGTTACTGTTGTGGATCCAGCATTCCACAGGACGGCTCATCGTGGGTTAGGATTTCGTCATTGTGTACACGGTTCCCGTAACTACGCCACTCCGGTGAATGAGTCACCCACGACACCCTACTGACAGCTCCACTTGTGTTAATTCACTTCATCCATCAGGTTAAGGTCATCCTTGACTTATATAAGTGCGTGCCTTATAGCGTGGGAATGTGAGGTGGCTAGCGTCTGATAAGTGATCTGTGGTACCGGTTATGTGAGGGAGTGTGTGGTATTGGTTGTTCGCAAAAGCGTAGCAGTTACAACGCTAACAGCGTGAAGGTGGGTTTGGGAGAGACAGGCATTGGCTGGTCGCGTCGACTGACTACCAAACTACTGAACACACCCTCGATAACCCACTCAACACAAAACTCGTGAATTTGTGGATAAATGTGTGTTTACTGGTTGATTCGTGCACTCTGGCGTTGATTGGTGCACACAGACATTCGAGACACCGTCACGGTGCGACTAAAATGTGTGGAAGGAGATGCAAAGGCGTGGAATAATCACGACGGAACCTGGCTTCTCGTTGTGATGGAGGGGTTCATGGAACCAGCTCAAGCAGATTGTGGCAGTAGTGGGAGTTAAGAGGTGGAAGCTGGATTCAAATGTGGCCAGCATTCAGCTGAGGCATTTAGCGACTAGGAGTCGCATTGAGGATGTCTACAATTATTGAGATATGCATGTCTTCATATGATGGACGTGAAATCTTAATTGGTTCCCTGTTGGTGAATTAAACTGTCATTCCTTGCATGGTTGGTTGACCACCACTATATTGTCCAGGATGCAGTCGATCTATCTCGGCAGCAGTTTGAAAGAGCGGTTTTGGACATCGAACAACGAAGAGCATTGTTCACACCTCCGCACAATTAGTTGGACGGTTCTCTACAACCCTTGAAGCATCTCCGGACTAAGTTTGGTTGGCAGGATTGGGACGATCCATGCCCAATTTCGCGACGTGAGGTTAATTTAGAAGTGGTTTCCGAGACGCAGATATCAAGAGTCGAGGGATTTACCGTGCTCCTGATCCCAGTTGACAACTTCCAGAATTCTCCCACCGTGTGTACTTCAACATCAATCAAGAGCCTTGTCAAATTGACCATGATTGTCCGAGGACCCGATGATTCGAAGTCTGGGAATGACAATCTTTGACGTGTGTCCATTTCCACGCCAATAGTCATTGATTAATTCCAGGATGGCATTACATGCCAACCCTAACAAGCGGTTCTCATAAAACGAGCACTCTTGAACGGGTATGGTCACTCCATAGATCTTGGAAGCAGACACACCTCGTCTACTGGATCAGGTGATTTTCAATGAATAGGCGAGTAGCACCTAGTGGTGAAGACATTAATACTGGAGCAAAGCCATCACGGACCAAAATCAGTGGACAAGCATTCAGCAGGACTTGTTCTTCGACGTATTTCAACTGCTGGCGCTGACAGAGGTCTCATCAAACAGGGGCGTAGACGGCTGTGGACAGGACTACACATCCGAGATAGAGTACTCGCAGACACCGGCAACCCACACTGCTCCACGTCGACCCAATTAACAGACTATCGATTATGTAGTCTTAATCCAGCAGTCAGTTCATTTGACCAAGATCCTGAGGGCACGGATATGCGTACAAGGGGGTGTATCTGAAAGTGCACTTGGCAGGTGGCCGAAACTGCTCAAGCTCTCCGCGTGGAGTCTCATCTTGACCTGTTCCGAGAATGGAAGGCCTGCGCGAGGCAGTGAATTCGCGCGCTGGTCGACCAAGCGTGTCTGCTTTGGTGACGAGACAGTTTGGGGATGAGTGATGCTCACGTGATGAGGGGATGGTGGTTCATGCCAACTAGACAGACGAATTGAACAAATCGACGTGAGGTAATTGTCTGTGACCTTGGTAATGCCACCAATGGTCTGCCCTCTAATTGGTTAGACTCATCTGTAAGTTGTTGAATGAATGTGTTGGAATCTTGGCATCCATCACTGCGCATCCATCACTGAGTTCGATCCAACAAGCAACTTAACTAAAACAATTTTTAACGGTCACGCACAACTGCCCTAGACACGTAGCAAAAGAGTGCTTGTTTCACTTGTTACAGTTGTCGTGTGATGCTATCCTGGAATGAGTCGATGAATATTGGCCAGTGGCACATTCTTGTTCAATGAGACAAGGTGTGACTTACCAAGAAGGTCATTTTGTTCACCTTGACCTCGTGCAGGAACTTGTAGGAGGATTGTCGGAAGGGGTCGTGTGAGGTGGACCAGGTGTGTTTGGGCCAGGAGGTTGTGACTCCTGCGCCGCCACCACCGCCGCCACCTCCACCAACGGTAGCGTAGACATCGACGTCGAGACTATGGAGATGGCCGGTGTGGCGTCGGACGTGGATGGTGCGTCGGAGAGCGGGACTTCGGCCAGCGGAGAAGCCCGAGTACGATTGGGAAAATGCGTGTTTGACGGTCAACTCCTCGTCCATGTTGGACGGCGTGACCGACTGTCGAGATCGTCTGCGCGATAGGTCGGAGCGTCGTCGGCTGCCGCTCTCACCGCCACCACCACCACTGCCGTTGTTGTCACTCCATCGGTGAGCCAGTGATGCCGATCCACTCACCACGCTGCCGAAATTCGCCTGGAAGGAGCTCCCAACACATGCAGCTTCCGGCGACATGCTGGCGGCGCTGGAGGAGGAGGAGGTGTTGGAGTGAGATGCGGATGTGTTGTCTTCTGTGATGAGAAGGGATTGGTCGAAGAGGAAGACGCGGCACGGCGTGAAGTGGAACTCCACTGATTTCAAGGCCATTTTGCTGCCTACAACAACACACTCACCAGATTCAATTTCCACAACTTGACAGTCTGGAACCACGTAAGTCTACGTTGTCAGGGCTATCGGTGTCGATTGGTTTCGGCAATTACCTGATTGCTTATTTTCGTGCCCATCTGTCCATGTTGTGTCTCGACCAAAAGCAAACGAATATGTGGACAGTGTGTCTAGACAGGTTCAGTGCAATAAGACAAACCCCAGACAATGGTTAAACAGTGATATTTCTTTTGGATATTCCCTCCGTCACAGCGATTGTACAATTGTGATTGGCGACCTTAAAATTTGCATGAAAGTGCCACATTTCTGAGCTTTGCGTGATAGAGAAACGGAATCTGGTTTGACATTTTTTGCAAGAAGTCCGATTTGTCACAACCAGACCAATTTAACCCAAGTAGGTGGACTACCAACGTCACGCTTTCCAATCCCACACACCCATTTTGGGAATGCTGTCCTCAATGAAACACCGACCAATGAGAGCAGCTGATTGGTTGAAGGTGTGTTTGCTGTCAACACCTCAAAAGCGCTGCAGTGTTTTCGCGGAACTAATTATTTTTAGCCCTGATGATTTGCAATCATACACAAGCAGGCCAGAACACGAAAACAGCGGAGTTGGGACGGCGTGTGAGGAGGGCAATTGTTACAATCGCAAAAACTCCTCAAGACACGCTGGCCCATGTCAGGCTGGAAAGTGGATGACAAGGTGTTTTGCGGGCATGCGCACTGAAGCCACTAAAAATAATGACGGTGACAAAATTGCCTGATGTGGTTTTCGTTCTCGTTTAACGCCTCTCAGATACCTGATGTCAAATAATTGTGAAATTCTAACAAACTCGATATCGACGTTAGTCAGTCATTTGTTTTAAAATGCTCCACTCATCGATCAATACTTCTGCCAAACAGAGGTCAGGCTAATCCGCTTCATTTAAACAAATCCAAGTTACTCGCCAACCACACTCAAACGCAGTGTCACGGGCCCAAAGCCATGATTTTCCAATCACTATTTTTGTAAGATTCGCAACGCAGTATGGCGTTTTGGAACTATTCGTATCACCACGGTGGAAGAACAACGGCGTCTCCTTACATATTGAACAATTTCCTCCAGAAATGGTGCCTGGAGGATGTGGTTTGAAGTCGGTTTGAGGTGGATCTCCCACGTATCTTGTTGGCGTGCATTTCCACAACGCCATCTAGGTCCCGCGTTCCAAATCTTGGTATACATATCTGCAGGAAAAGCCGATCGTCCGAAGACATCTGCTGCGTCGGTGGATGGTTTTGCCTGCTGTTTTGTCAACTAATGCAATCAAACAGCTGCCTCGTGCCACGCATCAATGTTCACTTGCTCGAGGTCGGTGTGGAAAGAGCGTGGGATTGCCAAGCACCGGTTCCATCCCATGAGGTGCCTTTTCGTTACAGAGGCGCGTCAGGTGTGTGTGTATGTATGAATTTTCTCAAGGTCGAAAAATCAGGGGATGAGGCACCTGTGGGCGCGTTTCGACACCTCGTGAGAGCCACCACCATGCTCTGCAGTACTTTGAAACAGCTGCACACGTACACACACTATGAGTGAATGTTGTCATCATCATAGTCATCATCAACAACTCGTGCATTCTAATGATTTCGATTCCACTACCTCAACTTGGATGAAGTAAACGCAAAGTAGCATTGACGTTCGTTTTTTTGGAACTTCCGTTTGTGGCTGCGACGGCTCTCAGGACTCTCGCGCTGCGGCAGTGCTGATTGGTCAGTTGTGGACAGCCAGTGTCTGTTTGTGGGTCAAGGTCAAATGTACTGAACTGGCGCTCACTTTAAACGTTTTCAGCCCTTGAGAACCGACTTACTGCAGCGTTGACGACGCTGCTTGGGCGTGGGAATCGTCAGTGAAAATGAGCAACTTGTTTAGTAGAGCCAGTTGAAAGTAATTCTTTTACGTTTGACTAGACACTTTTGCCTGCGTTTCATAGCGATAAAAGCACTCTACTAATTTACTTCAATTAGCTAGAACTACCATGTCAGCCAATCAGATTCCTGTCATTTAACTTGAAACCAATAGCCGTGGTTGTGTATTGGCGCCTCAGATGAATGCGATTTCGGTAGCCGAATCAGTTTACTATTTTGCTCAATTTTGATCCAACTGAATATGCCAAGTTACTTACCTGGTTGTTGCTTTTTGCGGCAAGCAAGAAACAGATTTATATTTGCCCAAGAACTTGCGCCTACGCAATGTCAACAATGCCCAATTGGATTGGCTGATTAACGCAAAAATTAGTTTAAATTGTGACTTAACCAATTAACGATTAACCAAGGCTTTATAATCCTTAAAATAAGTGGATAATCGCCACGTAAAATTATGTGATCTTGAATAAAGACCTTGACTTGAACACATGACGCTTTTGGTAGATGGGTAGAGGAAAGGGAGGAGAAAGAAGGGCAAGTGTGAACTCCTCTCGTCACCTGATTGGTGCAACATGGTACTAGTCATGGAATACGTGTCATTGATTGGGAGGGCAGTGTAATTTCGATCATGTACTCTCAGTTATTGGTTACAATTCGATTTTAGCCAAATCCTGACCAATCATATGCACCAACTAGCAAACGATCACGACTGCTCCCAAGTCAGTGCGATTCGAATGTGGCGCGAAGTCGGTGTTCGGTGATTTAAACAAAAGCAAAGGAACTGGGAATAATCAGAGCGAAATGTCTCACATTTTGCGAGGAGTTGGCAGTGGGAGCATTCGGTGGTGTTGTGGTCGGCGCAGAGTGGCGCGTACGAGGGCGACGTCATGGCGCGTCGCTTGACGGCGTGCGGCGAGGTGTCGAGGGGCAGGGAGCTGCAGCCGGCCGTTGTGAGGACGTGGCCGGCGACGGTCTGGGCGGTGTGGAGCTGCGTCTGCGTGAGGTGTGCCACGTACATGGCGCCGAAGAGGCGGAGGTTGCCCTGGCCCGTCACTGACCCCGGGAAACCCACGATTCGTGCGGCCTGGTGGAAGAGACAAAGAAGGCGTTGAAGTACTGGTGGTCAGATCCTCAAATGAGACGAAGCTGCCCTGTGAGCATCCACGTCAACATGCTAGCAACGTTGAATGCTCCATTGGTGGTTTGTCAGCTAGACATCGGCCACAATCTTAGTGTCGGCCCGTTATTCTAGGTGCCACCAACTCACTGGTTCCGCGTGCTCTTCAGCGTAACACCGAGAGATTAGGACGTTAGTTTTGACATGACCAACAGGAGACAAGCAAGTCTGGTTTGCAGCCGGTGGAATCCTAGCCGATCTTGTTATCAACGTCCGACGTCGAGCTAAACATGAGTTAATTGGTCTTGGTGGGATGGAACCTGTGTTCATTCACCCCTTCTGAGATAAATCATGTCAGTCGGAGGCAGATGCCCCTACTGCCTCGTGAAGGAATGCGTATTCGCGGACGTGGACGTCATTGGACAATGTCGTGAATGTCAATCTGACCTCGATCCACCTGGTCAATCATACCGTTACGGCTCACCAATGACCTTCAAGCCAGAGAGTGAAAAACAAACACATTTCACCGGAGATCGATTGTAAGCGGTTAGCAACGAGAGACAGGGGGTTCTGTTACTGCAGATGTTGCGGTCAATTACGGTTGTGAGTACATTTGTGACGCTACGGCGAACACTTGCGTGGGTGCGATTACAGATGCACACAACCAGCCAACACCACCGACGACGAAGTAGGGGTGGTTGTTGTTTGGTGTGTACGACCGCATGTTTCATACGACACCACCGAAACTGACCGATTTGTGTCTAGCACTACTGTCTACCCAGGTTAAATTGGAGGTCTAATTATCGATTTTGTGTCTCTGTATCACTTGCATGATGTGGGGATTTGAATTGCCACGATTGTGGTTGCAATCAGTGTGCATTTTAAGCCAGAAGATTGCTGGTGTGAGTGCGGACGAATGTATGATGAGAAGATAGAGGTGGATTTGGGGAGGCACAAATTGACACCCAAGGGAATCGTTTTGCGTCTCGTTAGACTGCGTGGTGGACGATGACCTTTCTTGTGTCGACACAAGCCTGTAATCAGACGGCAACAAGGCGTGGTCGTTTGCTTAAGAAGAATGCAATTAATCACGCGACGTTTAATTTGCTTGGGAACACTTGATTTCGCCAGGTAGACACGTGATTTGTTAGAGGAGACTGCGTCAGTAGGATAGCCAACGTTGATGCTGTCTATTCGGGCTAGGCTGGACACTTTGACCAATCACGTGACGGTGAGCAGAAGTAGCACTGTCTCCTCTGTGCGCCTAACCTCATGCGAGTCATGTGATAAAAATCGACGTTGCAGTTCATGGAAGTCACCATCGAAAGGATCAATGATACTCCGAGGATCGAGATCATCTCCGATGCTTGACCAACGTATTCCACAGACAGGCGTTCCTCACAACGCCGCAATAGCATAACGCAAATGCCTATGTGGGCGGACAATCCCATCCAATGACGTGGCGGGTTGTACAAATTTGGTTTTGTTTAAATGAGTACACAATCAGCATGCTTATTTAGTTTGTGCGCGCACAGCCTTGTTTTACTGTGCTTCTGGATGATTAATGGGAGTGCTGACAACCGCCGGATTAGATCATCTGAAATGTGGATGCACTGTTGCCGATTCACCAAAATTTGAGGGGTGTGGTGAGGTCAGCCAGCGTGCGTGTTCACCCCAATGTGCACCAGTGGTGAATGCTGAAACCGGAAAGACTGTCCTTGGTGGTGTTTTGAATGAGAAGCCGATCACCGTGGATTGACCGTCAGGAAATTCGAACGAGGGAGTCAACCAGCTCGTAGGGTGCAGGATTTTGAAAATGTCGAGGCGACTTTCGTGGCAATTCTGCAATCTGATTGGACAGGCAACAGACAAAGGCCTGTCTAGTTGACTGTGCCCGTCGATAGAACTATGAGGGGACGTGGCACCATAATCTTGCAAAAAATGTCGCTGTCTGACAAATTATACAATCGGCGCGCCAAACCTGCCTCCGTCTTGTGTGCTTCTGGAAACTACGTACTTGGATGGTTTTGCAGGTAAAATTGACCCAAACTGTCTTAGTCACTCTTTCGTCTATAAACTGAGACAGACACGATTTTTTTGGTGAGCAGAAATATCAGATGACGAGTCAATGACCACTCCACACTGTGGAATGCATAGTAGCCGACACAGAAACGGCACTTGGATGGGTTGATCGCACTTGCCGAATCTGACGACCACGTGTCGGGTTGCCAATCGTAAAACCGTGTTGAAACTGCCTCGTTTGGTGGGAGGTGAACCTCATCGTGGTGCGTCTGCTGACAGCGAGCTGTCCGATTGGTTGGTCGTGGATGCGATGTGGGGGCGTCTGTTTTGCAAGTTCGCTGTTGGTGCCAGAGCACCTTCGATCGATCGCGGAAGTTGGTTCTGGGTGCAAAATTTGACACCGCATGAAGGTGTGTTCATCCAAACTCACTTCCCTCTTTTCAACCTAAACTCTTGTGCGTTGGAGCATCAAGCAAATGCGTTTTACCGGTAAACGTTCACCCACCCAATAAGCCATCTGACAAGTCGATTTCCATAGCTGAAATTGTCCAATCATCTTGTGAAAAAATGTTGCCGCTATTCAGGATAGCTCTCCTACACACATAAATCCAACTACGGAGGTAGCAATTAGCCCAGCGCTCTCTCTAGGCAACCACGAAATAGCCCCTTTTGCGAGGCGTTCACATGTGTAAACCACGGTGAGAAAATTAGGAATTGTTTACAGAGCAAATGAAGGTGTAAGTTTCTTGTCGAAATCGCAACATCGTTCGCACGGAACTGCTTAAAACAGCCGAGTAGCTGAGCGGAGTTAGGCGTGTCCGTGATGTCACTCGAATTCAGCTCAGCGGAATATCGATTTTATCGATTTTGTGCCGCTGCGTCGCCGATGCGTTGGAAGGACAAGTACGTTGCTTAGCTGGTTTTACGAGTAATTTCGGTATTCTAAAATATAATCAAGTCGATCCAATGGTCTTGGTTTTTCGCAAATTGTCAAAGCTGAAAGTTGACTTCGTCATCTGCCATCACGACAAATTGGAGGTTGGCAGAAAAGCGGGTTGCTTGCATGGTGTAAACCTGAATCCCGAATGGCACTTAGCAGCCAGTGGGCGTGTGAGTCATAAGGAACCGACCAATCGGATTGCGGTGTTCACATAATCCGTGTAGAATGGTCCAACTGCGCTACTGTTCGTCCATGCGTCATGACGCTTGTAGTATGGTTTATGCCCATAGAAACAGACTAGTGACATTGCGTCAACCACGACGAATCGCGCAGCGAAATGATTGGCAGATAAGATAAACGATTTGTGCTTGGCAAAATGTCGTCAATTGTCTGAAAACACGCGCTTTTACACGATGGAAAATTTTCACACGGATTAGTCTTTCTTAACACGACACCAAGCCTTGTAAGTTGTAATTATCGTGCCGACGCAGTGATGCGTGCAGGAACCATAAAATTGGGATCGGCAGTGGAAATTTTCACACATCGTCAGTGGCACAGGGAAAAGGTTATTTTGTGGTCAATTCACGTGGCTTTTGCCTCATTTTGTACCGATGTAACCAAAAGGAAAATTGCTAGTTAATTGGACCAATCTAATCGGTTTTACGGAAACGCACCAATTGGGCTGCTCATAGCCATGCGCGCAACGGATAAAAACAAGCACCATCAAATCAATAATGCCGAATTTGATGAGGATTAAATGAAAGGCGTTTTTAAGCTAGTAAATACTACGAATCCAAATTTAGATCCAAAATTTGCAATGGGACGCTTTTAGACATCATCATCTCAAAGTCGACTGGCTTTTTTTCATGTGAAACTGTTGGCGTAAATAAAAACTTTCATGATGACTCTCACGATTGGTAATTTAAAAAAAAAAAACATTTTTACAAGCTCATATAAAAAGCTAATTTCCGCTCTACGAACGCTGAATTAATGTTTCGCTTGAGACTGTAGAATGATCTTCGTCCGATCTATTTTTCTTGGAATTTGATTGGTGCTCACCAATAAACTACGCCTTTATTTGAAATTTTGCTTATTCGTGTCTAAATTTACAAGCCAATATTATTTAAAGTGTATGTCGGATTTTGTGGCTTGAAATCTCCTAAATAATTTTAGTGCACATCTGCATTTACGGCTACTGTTTATAATTCAGTAGCCAGGAAACCATTGCTAATATTTTATGACCACTTACAATTTTGACAATTAGTTGACTTATGATTTACTAGTTAAAAGCGGTTTCCTTAAATAATCACACGTGTTGCTGAACTAGATATTTCAGTAGTGAGTTAATTCAGGAAATATGCATTTTCCCTCAATATGTCCAATAAAACAGCAGCCTAAGTGGCATAAATTGAAAAAGAAATATGTTTAACTTAAGCGCATATGATTTTGATTAAGAAAGTTTTTCCGAAAACCTGCGTTAATTTTCATCGTTTTTGGCACACATGAACTACTGACAATTAACTAGTAGTAATTTTATTGTAAATCACTTTCAGTGTTTGAAAAGTCGATCGATTGGATAAAACCCGAGACTGACGCAATGCTGAAATTAAATCGACTTGAAATGAGTGAAAGTTAGTTGGTCGTTTAAATATTGTTGGTATTTCTCCGACACTACTAATGTGCATCAGTAGTGAGGTGTTCTGCCACTTTCAATGAGCTGAAGCATCAACGAAGTTTATATTATTGTTTTTCATTTTTGCAAAAGCTCTGCAATATTTTGGTTCTGCTGTGGTCTTTTATTAATATCTCTTAGTCATGTGTCTATTAGAATTTGATGTTGCTTAAAATGCTACTTAGAATGAGTAAGTAGAAATGTTTTGTTGTCTTTGATAATTTAAGGAAAACCGCCAATCTAGTCCTTCGATGCAAAAAACGCAGAGGTCAGAGTTTTTGGACTATGTGATTGGTTCTTCCTCCATACCCAGTTTTAGCGAACAGCTGTTCTCATCAAAACGCCAACAATGAGGGCTCGAATAAAGACAGTCGGTGACATATTAGTCAAATCCAAAAGAAAATTAACTGATAGTGAAGAAATGTAGCATAAATAGGGTTGAACCAGATCTAAAATGCGAATCACGCACAATGCCTTCACTCATGCAACAGTGACGCCCAAAAATCGATGGCAAATGCAGTGCAGAATGAGCCAATAAGATAACTGTGCGGCTACTTTGAAATAGTGTGCATTGTAGGTTCACAAAACATGCTTAGTGATAATTTTCAACGGATGAATTATTTTGACTGAAAAATTGTTCTACAAATCATAGCACGAATTGTCAGGAGTTTAACATCCCTAAAACATCTATTTAATTCCTTACAAACGTCCCAGTTTTTCAATGAGTTACATGGTATAAAAAAACTGGAAATTAAACGAGATTGTCAGAATCGCGAGTTTTTGTAAATGCTACCTTATCTACAAATTAGTCAGACATTCAATTCCAGTCTTGCACACGCTCACACATCCAGTAAAACAAAAAGTACATGTTTCGAGATAAACTTTTTTCTAAATTTGCATCTAGTTAAAGAGGCGTCGTGCACAATTTTAAGCGCACTGTATTGGCTGTTTCAACATTACCGCGCTAGCAATCGATTTTCGTCTTCGCTTGTTTTAATCCACTAGAAATATCGATTGATTTGACTTGATAGTGTGCGATTGTAGGCTCTATCGCCTGAAATTTGAAATTGAGTGATTCAGCATTCAAATTTTACAAATACGCCGACAAATTGGCCATTTTGTCAATTTTTTTCAACGAATTTTCACATATTTAGCACATTAGTTGGTCGGAAAGCATTTTGCTGCAAATTCCTTTCGTGTCTTTGCCAAACGCACGACCTTGAGAGCTAAAGGCGAGGGTAATATCTGCTCCGATGGGAATTTCTTGGGTGTGTTAGGAGCCAGGTTAAACGTCGACTTCCTCCACTACCTTTCCAAGTTGTTACCTTAAAAAATGCGTCCGTTTTTGTATTAAAACGACTTTTACGCACGATCACTTTGTTCGTGTCCCTGTTCCCCACTAATCAATAGATAGGGATTCTTCCTCTCTCTCTCTCTCCACCGAGGGTTGGTAGATTGACATCGATTTCCGGATCGATATTTGTCATTTCAGTGAAGTGTCGACGTGGTCTGAATTTCCAGAACGTTGTCTACAGGTACGTGGTTAAATCATATGTTAGAACCTGTGCAAAAATGCCTATATTCCAACCAATGAGAGCACGTTCAACCAAGCAAATGAAACACACAGTAGTAATCTGCACTAGCACATTATTTACGCAATTTCTCTTGCAATTTCCCTTGTTCTCTGCAAACCACCTGTCGACGTTTGATCTACACCGCCAGTCGCCGCTCACACACGGCATTTTGCGTGATTCGCCAGGGTGATTAAAATCTCGCAGAATCTGTGGTTAGTGTGTTTAAAGCTCACTTACATTGCATGTCGCCTGCCCATTACAAGGTGCGATAAACTCACTGGATAGGACCACGTGCCAATAGACGCTTCTAATTGGCCCACTCGGCACCAATCAGCGTGCCGCTTTTGTCGTGTGGCTTTCGACCAATCAGGAAGCAAGCCTGGTGTCAGCAGCCTGGACACATGCCTCTGGTGGCATTTTTTCAAGCGAATACACAAAATAATTTATTGAGAAGCATTTCTAAGAATGCTGTGTGTTGTCGGCGTCGTTGCCGTGGTGATTATAGCATCAACCCAGGCGGAGTATTTTCGCTTTCGGATGCCTGAAGAGGTGTCTGTCAACACCGTGATAGCTGAACTTCCACGTCTCCTGAATGTTCCACCGATGGAGGAGTTCATCAACGCTGATTCCAAGTTCAAATTACTCAGTTCCAACCCCGTTTACCACCGGCTCTTTGCAGTGGATCAGCGCAGCGGAATTCTACGGACTAACGGACCTATTGATCGCGATCAGCTCTGCCAGAGGGCTGAGCTGTGCTGTAACATGGTGGAGCAGCACGAGGTCACCAACATTAACGACATCAAGGTGGTGGGGATGGAGGCGGTGCAGAACAAAATGCGCAAAGACCGGATCTTTACTGGTCTGATCTGCAAACTCGACTTCCGCGTGGCGTTCAGCTCCAAGACGGCCAAATTCCCAACCTCCTTCGCGTCCATTCAGATTGAATTAATGGACCTTAATGATAATGTGCCCAAATTCACTGAACTGTCAAGCAGTCAAGTATCGCGCAACTACGATGGCAGTCTGGTGTACGTTGTGTCCATTCCGGAGAGTGCCCACACTGGATATCAACTGCCCCTCCCGCTGGCCCAAGATGGCGACGCTGGCGCGTTTGGGGTGGTGGGATATCGGCTGGAAGAGCCATCGACTCAAGCGAGGTCCCAAGCAGATCATCGATTCTCTCCTGGCTTCCCATTTGTCCTCATTCCCACGCGTCGCGACGATGGAGTGATTCTGCCGAAATTGGAACTACGCGAACCGTTGGATTTTGAGACGAGGCAGAACTACTACGCCACCCTCATCGCTCATGACGAAGATCGATTCACACCCAACTCCGCTGAAATCCTCATTCAAATTGACGTCCTCGACGAGAACGACAACCAGCCTGTTGTCAGCGTTCGAACCCCCTTGCACAACAGTCTGGACACCTCAAGTGTTGGCAGTGGACCTCTCCAAATCAGCGTCCGTGAGGACTGCGCAGTTGGCACTCTGTTGGCGCATTTCGAAGCGAGAGACGCAGACAGTGGCGACAATGGAAGGGTTACCTTCGCATGGGGTGAAACCACGCCACCGCAGGTTCAACGCCTCTTTGAACTGCATCCAAATTCCGGCGAGTTGAGACTTGCCGACCGTCTGGACTACGACAGTCTGGTGAAGTCGTCGCTCCACCGAGGCGTCGATGCCTACAACCTCGTCGTGGTTGCCTCAGACGACGGCAGACCAAACCGACTATCGACTACTGCCAGCATCGCCATCGAAGTAGTGGATGTTAACGACGAGGAGCCGATGATCACCGTGATGGACCTGGCCAACCGCAGTCCCACGCAGTTGGAGGTCCTAGAGAACGAAGACAAGGACACCTTCGTCGCCTTGGTCACCGTCCAGGACTTGGACGGAGCTAGCGGACCCAATGGACAGTTTGTCTGCACCTTGAACAACACGCAATTTCGTCTGGTGGCGGCTGACGCCTTCATGAGTCATAAGATGTCACTTCCAGGAGGCCTGATTGGATTCGACGAGGTGCCTGGTGGACTTCACTCCGTGACAGGCGCTGGTAGGGCGGAATTCCAACTCGTCACAGCCAACAGTTTTGACCGGGAACAGGCCGCACTTCACTACGTCGCCATCCGATGCCGCGACAACGGATCACCGCCGCTTGAAAGTCAGGTTTGTTACAAGCCGTTTGCATTTCAAAATGTACCGATGCGTGTGCCACTAAAATATGCAGGCGGTTGGTCGAGTATTGAGGTCACACAGTGCGCGAACACACAAAGCCACTAACTGCTAATTTATGCCGCTGCACGATGCTTCTAGATCAGCGCTGGCAGATTCTGACACAGGCAATTTTCTCCAAGTACTTAAATGGGCCACGAAAGTAGTACACACCAGACTCAAGTGTTCATGGAAATGTAGTTCAAATTTATGTCTGATATCTTGATAAAACTTTTGTTTAAAAAGTATTTTGCAATGACAATGAACCGCTCTTCAAAATTTTACCATTACCGTCATAATCACAGCCTTAATCGCCAGGTGTCTAAATTTATCGTAAACACATTTTTATTTAAATTGGAATATTGGAAGTCACAGTTTTGCGCACGCTGTGTTAGAGGGAGTTGAAAGATGGCGTTGGGGAGGTACGTGCATCAGCAAAATATCATCAAGACGTTGGTTTGGATAGCGGAGTGGTGTTCTTAGGACAGGCACGCAGTGTTCAAGTCGATCTCGGAGAAGCTTCGATATTGTTCGTGGTTGCCACAGATGAGGTTGCTGCAAGATCAGATGATGAAAACTCCTCTGCATCGCGCCATTCAAAGCGACTTGACTTCACCTGGAAACTGGTTCTGTTACCTCCACAGATTGTGCCAGAAGCGAACAAAATGCAACTTGATTCCACGGCTTGATCGTCTCACCAACACGGACCACCCTGGATCAAGTCGGGACTGGAGCAACATCCTACGAAAATGCAGCTACGACCACGGGAGTTCAAGGAACTATCTTGAGGATAATGACTGCATCCAGTGGAAGTGTTGCTCTGAGTCTGGTGGGGTGGGGTGGTTCACAGAGGAGCTATTT